GTCCGGGGATGCCCACCCCCAGACCCCTCAGGCCCGCCAGGTCCCCGGGGCCAGGGCTCAGCAACCCTGATCTCAACCACCTTTTCTGAGCCCCTCGCCTCCCCCCATCGAAGACTAAGGTCCTTATCGTAAAACATAACTGCCCGGTAACTGCCCGGTAAACCGTAGGTAGAAGGAGAAAAAGACAACGAACGAGGTTCTGAGCCCCTCGCCTCCCCCCATCGAAGCCTAAAAATAAAAACTAGTCATTCTGCACGATTGGTTAGGGTCCTTATCATAAAACAGAACTGCCCGGTAAACTCCAGGTAGAGAGTGATAAGAAGACAACAAACGAGGGACTGTCGTCAGGAGGCATACATTAAAAACGAATGACGACCTTATATCTCCTTACCAACCACAAGATAGGGTAGGCGGCGCACACCCTGGTGGATGCACCATTATACAGGACCTTCAGGGTAACCCACTTTCTGAACCCCTCGTCTATCCCCATCCTTTCCATGTGCCCATGTAAGGAGCCTAAACTTGGTCACAACCTTCTCGACGTCGACAGGAAAATGGCTGCTTTCATTTGGCCACTTCGATCGCCTTTCTAAGGTCGCAGCAAATATTAATAAATCACCTGCACATCCCAACCTCTTTTTGCTGAGGCGAGTTCCCCCTCCATGCCAAGCTTTGCCAAAACGCCAGAGCGGCGTTCTGTTTTCGTTTTGGCTGGCAGCCACCAAAATTTAAATTTTAGGAGTGAGCCCTTCGTTGTTCATACGTTGCCCGGGATCACATCACAACCAGTCACTCGCCCAGCTATTGATGCCGGCCCTAATATTGCCCTCCTTGCCAAAAAGAAATAAGTGAGCGCGGGGCTCATTTTGGCTGGCACAGCCAGCCACGTCGGTCCAGTACCGACCCCCACAAAGATGCAGCGGTGTACGAGCCACATATTTGTTTTTCAAGCTGCACGAAGTACTGGTGGTTTAAAATGTATTTGCTGGAATGAAACCCGTCTGTTCGATGCAAAAACATTGCAACTTCGCAAGGATTTTGTCGGGAACCATTGAAAGGGAGATTGGCTTGTGGTTTCAACCAGCACGTTTGCCAGGATTTTGTAGTGAACCATCAAGGGAGATAGGTTTGTGGTTCTACTCCTTCGTAGATGCTCCCCCCCGAAGTTGCCAGAAGTGGATTCACAATCGTCTTCTCAGCCCACTGATGGTTGGTGGGTTCTCATTTTTGGCATTTCCTGTCCTTTGTGCCCACTGATGCTTGGTGGGTTCTCATTGTTGGCATTTCCTGTCATTTTTACGACTTCTATAGGGGGGGGGGGGGGAGAGAGAGAGAGAGAGAGAGAGAGAGAGAGAGAGAGAGAGAGAGAGACAAATATCTTTCCTTCCCCAACCATCTACACCCCCATCGGGGCTTTTTTTTCTTTCAATTTTTTTAAGTCAGGCGGATGTTCACCGCCCCCGCGCAACCCCCCTCCCGCCCCGATCCCGACGTTTCCTGAAGACCCATGAACGGGCCATTCACGGACGCTGGCCCCAGTGACCGGCCGGGCACTTTCACGGTGACGGCACTGGCGTTCGGGCTCGGACAGATTGCCCCTGGAGGACGTCCGATCGGTTGTCCGACCGGGCGACCCCAGACGGTAATGGGGGTCCCCGACATCCGGCCCAGTAACATAGCATGATTTACAACTTGATCCTTTCACTCACCAATGCAACGATTGTGCTCACCTTCTCACAACAGTGCAACCATGCTTGTGGTTCTTATGCTGTTTCGTCTTATAATCGGCAGAACATATATACCTGGATCATGCTTTCTTACATGGAGAAAGCCGGGGCGGTTGCCCGGCAGGCCTCAGCCGTCTGTTAACTATACCAGATATGCTCCCCTACAGCCACAGGTCCAGAATATGGAAGGCGTTTCAATCTGACCTACTGAACTATTCTGCCTTGAAAACCTTTGACATTTTCCCCTGCTAGGGTTTGTTTCTCAACACTACCCCACCCAAACCAGTCACAAGCATATAGAAAAATGGTGAATTAACCCGAGCGAGTTCTAAAAAAACTCTTTTTTGACAACAAGTTGAAAAATGGTGAATTAACCCGAGCGAGTTCTAATAAAACTCTTTTTTGACAAAAAGTTGAAACCAGTTGACTATCTATTTGTTCAGTGATTGGAGGAGGAGAAGAAGAGGAGAGGCAGAAGGAGAGGCAGAAGAAGATAAAGGACAGGCAGAAAAAGAAAGAGAGGGAATAGGAGGAGACGAAGAACACGAAGGAGGAGAAGGAGGAGGAGGAGGAGGAGGAGGAGGAGGAGGAGAAGAAGAGGAAGAGGAAGCAGAAGTAGGTGGTGGTGTTCCATCAAAGGGCGAACGAAACAAACTCATGGACATTTCAGGCTGCCTCAGTCAACTTCAACCATTGGCGCATACACAATTATTTACAACAGGTTGTCACCACAGCCACAGCCGACAGAGTGCAGCGACTGTACAGAACACAGTTTTCTTCCCTCTCTACCCTCGAACACCTACCCCTCACTCCTTAACAATGCCAGATCCTCTACTCTCATTATCCTCAAGGGCCTCCTGCCCACAACCATACGTGTGTGACCCACATGCACAGTGGAAACAAGTCCTAACCAACAAGGAACCACCACAAAAGAACAGTCCCAGGGTGAAAATACTTTGTAACCTCTCAGAGATATCCCTAGGGTGAAAGTACAAGTTCTAACCTGTGTCGTCAAGTACACGTGTTAAAAACATCTAGCAAGAACAGAAGCTAATGCATTACTGGAAACGGTGAAAAGCAGCAGATGCCTTTTGGGAAGGATGCCAAAACCTGCCTGTCCAAACGATGTCCAAGGAGGCAAGGCGGCATCAGAAACGCAGGACAGCGCAGCGCTCACCTTCAAGTTCCAAGTGCTTTACAATTCAGGACAAGTTCTGGGGGTTCGAGTAACGAATATGCCCCTCCAAACAGTAGTAGACCTCACCTCACCTCACCTCTATGAGCCAGTGTCCTCATCATCCAAAATCAGCCGACAAGCGAAGAGATCACCACTTCAACACTTCAAAGCTACCCACACTAGCTGCACATTTCAACAGTTCAAACGACTAAGTTTAGACGAACCGGAAATGAAGAGTGCAACTTATGCAAGACGGATCGCAAGCACCTCAAAACCACTTGTATCGGCAAATACAGTGGTTGTCCTCGATATGCCACCATCCCGCCCGCCCGCCCCCATCGGCAAACTGCATCCATAAACACCACTAACCCATCATTTCTTACCCTAACTGTGGCCCACAGATATGCCAACAGTTGTCAAACCAGGCTGATGATCTGCCATAACAGGGCTCCGTGATGGGGACACCGACTCATCAGCAATCGTTCTCCCATTGACAGGCAAGTGGAGACGAGAGACCCCGACTCATGGAAAACTGTTCCTCCGTAGACAAGCACATGCAGAATCCCGCACGATTCAGACCGATATGTTTGCTGTTTTCTCTGTTCCTCTCTTAAAGCACCAGTACATGCCACCTATCGGCCGCGGGCCCCCTTTTGGAGGCCCCCCACCGTCGATTCATTTTATCAGCGGCACTCGCCTCCTAAATTTTCGGAGAGGCTCAAACCAGGTTGGTCCAGTGGCCTGGGGCCACGTACTGGTGGTTTAAAAACCATGTTAGTTGCCACACTGCATCTACAGTCTAATGGCATATGTGGTTCAGACCAATTCACCGACGACTGTTCTTCTCTTAAGCACCCACAACATCCAGTAGTGGCACTGCATCCACAGTCTATCCTAAATTCCTGGTTGGTTAGGATATAGATTCTCGACAATGAAGAGCGTCAACCTCATACCTATACCTTGTCGAGATAGGTATCTCCGATATACCTCGTACCCTCCTTGTCAATGCAATTCAATTCAGGATCATTGCGTCGTCTCACATTTGATGTTGCGTTTACATAACCCATCCGTGCACTTCTGGAAGCTGTCATAGACATAGGCATAGGCATAGATAGCTCAGCAATGCGCTTGACGTAACTGAAGAAATCTCATTCGCCCACCCACAGGCAGAGCGAGTGCGCAGCCAAAAATACCTGCCCAGTCATCTGCTACCCTCCAACCCTGTCCAATGAGCCGCCTGACTGTCCCGAAGATTTAATGTACCTCGCAAACACCAATCCCATCCTCCTTCCTCTCATACTTGCCACACAACGATGCTGAATCACAGGGAGCTCAAGTTGGCATGCATCAGTCAAGGCTGGACTGTTCATAGCTTCCTCCCAGTGGTTACACGTGTCCTCGATTACCGATCTTTCACAATAATACCGTCTACCACACACAAGATATTCACACCACCTCGCACCAGTTCAGCCTGCTGGCAAAAGCGCCTGAGCCATCGCTCCTCCCACTAGGTACATGTCCTCGATGGCCGATTCTTTCACAATAGAACTACCACCTCCCACACACAAGATATTCACACCACCTCACAACTGTTCCGCCTGCTGGCAAAAGCGTTGGAGCCATCATTCCTCCCAGTAGTTACATGTCCTCCATGGTCGATTCTTTCACAATAGTACCATCTACCACACACAAGATATTCACACCACCTAACACCAGTTCAGCCTGCTGGCAAAAGTGCTGGAGCCATCGTTCCTCTCAGTAGTTACATGTCCTCGATGGCCGGCCGATTCTTTCACAATAGACCTACTGCCTCCCACACACAAGATATTCACACCACTCCACACCTGCTGGCAAAAACGCCAGAGCCATTGTTCGACTGCCCATTCTTTCACAATGGAACTACTGCCTACCACACAGAAGATATCCACACCACGTCACACCTGTTCTGCCTGCTGGCAAAAGCGCCAGAGCCGTTGTTCCTCCCAGTAGTTACATCATTTCACATGTCCTCGATGGCCGATTCTTTCACACTAGAACTACTGCCTCGCACACACAAGATATTCACACCACCTCCCACAAAACCTGCTGGCAAAAGCGCCAGAGCCATTGTTCCTCCCAGTAGTTACATGTCCTCGACGGCCGATTCTTTCACAATGGAACTACTGCCTACCACACACAAGATATCCACACCACCTCACACCTGTCCCGCCTGGTGGCAAAAGCGCTGGAGCCATCATTCCAGAGATATACCTGAAGCCTGAAGGTACATTTCAATACACACTAATGAATGCAACATTCGCCTCGCGCTCCCATGTGTGAAAGTTGATCTCCACGTCACTGCATCGTGTTTTTGAGTACGAACACTTCACACACTGATGCAACATTTTGTTTTCCACATCTATGTATCCTGTGTTGTGTAAGAGCCAATCTCCGCATCATGGCCCACATGCATGTACTATGTGTTTTCAGGTTGAAAACTTGAACCTGATGGATGACGAGCAAAGAGACGCTTGGTGTTTACCCAGATACTATCGGTAAACGATGTGGGTTCGGCATACTATGCACATACTATATGGCATCATAATCGAGGTGAATCTACTGCATACTGCTCCACAGGTCTATGCTATAGACTCTATAGGAGTGTATAAATCTTACAAACTACAACTAAAAGTCACAATCTGGGAGTGAATGCCCCAAGCTATGGACATGCTTGCAGAGCTTTGGCTCTCCATCTTCATCTATTTATCCATGTTCTTGCCTAGATTATACGTATCGCTTAAAAAAACAGCTAATGTACTGGATCTAGGAAAGGAGGCACTTTCAACGTAAACAGTAGAAAAACCTAAACTCTTTCCCGGAAAGGGGAGCGGTTAACCCAAGATGGCATATCCATGACTGGGGTCCTCAACCTGTAAAGCGGCTCACATTAAGATCAGGAACCTGCCCTCAGCACCGTGGAGGGAACGAACAACACGGCTGCGAGAGCAAACCACCACGGAACACGATTCCATGGAGGCTGCATGCATGGACACGTGTGAAATGAAGACATAGTAACAGCAACGACATGGCCTCTACTCTCTCTTTCGCCACCACGACAGCATAATCTATCTACACATTCGACAGCAGAGCAAAAATGTATCGATCCAAGTAAATGCAGCCTTATCAGCATAGCACTGTTGCCACAGGATCAACTAATCGTTCAGTGAAAGAGAACCAGCCACACAGTCCACATCATCCTTGTCGTCTCTCTCTCAGGTGTGCATTTGTCTGCGAGGAAGATAATCGTCTCAGCATACCACTATTGCCGCTGCTGGATTGGTCTATTACTCAGTGAAAGAGAACCAGCCATGCTAAGCCACATCTTCCTCATCATCTGTGTCTGGTGTGCATTTGTCTGCACTTCCTTTTCCTTCTTGTCACAGTCTCCACGTTATGGTGATGCCTTGGATTGAAGACCCACACACAGCACATTATATATGTACATGCCCCAAACCGTCCTATACACACAGCTCTGTACCAGTACTCCATCTCATTCAAACCAGGTACTTTCTGAAACATGCAGCAGAGACTTGCAGCAATGCCATCTCTCTCTCTCTCTCTCTCTCTGTGTGTGTGTGTTCCCCTTTGCCTTTCTGGAATAACAAGACTGGCCACACTGCATGCCAACTTACCAAACCAATTTGATTGGACATCAATAACTGCTCCACATCCGTCCTCCACAATATCAGCCTCGCGGCACAAATCACAACACACCACGTCCTTCTTCGCCAAGGCCCCTCGTCACATCGCATCCCATCTCAAAATACTTGCAGACCCCGCATTGCCACCTTCAGCCTTAGGCCCCTAGCCCAGTTATATACAGTAATCAGGGTCACCCTGCATCCTCTGCAGAATCCATCGCCACCACAGACTTTGCTTATCAGTGAGGCACATAGGAAGGATGAGAAGCTCTCACCCGCACGACAAGTCTCTGCATTGTTCAAACATGATAGAAGGGGTCGGGTCGGCGGGGCAGAGCAGGGGAGGAGCCATCAGGTGTATACAGGAAGGGAAACGAGGGAGGGGGCAAGGAAGGCCGGCGAAACTGATGAAGTGATGGTATCAGAGTGCAATTCAAACGGGGGTGCAATGTACAGGTGGGATGAATACAAACTGTACCATGCCACAGAAGTGGAGAGTCACAACTCAGAGCTCGAAGCAGGCAACACCACACGATGTGATCCTCGCCAATGTTATCATGAGTATAATATCCTCCCAATCACCAATCATCAAAGGAGGGGGGATAAAAGAGGCTGAGAATGTGGCCATCTAAAGGGCAGGTGTACTCAAAAGGTTCCCCAGGGCGGAGGGGACGGGAGAGAAGTGGGGAGGGGGGGGGGGGAAGGGGGGGGAAGAAGAGGGAGGAAAAAGGGGGCAAGGAGAGTGTGATGGTGTCTGACACATTCAAACTGAATCACATCCCCGAGCTGGCAGTTCGATGATCTGATCATCGCATCGCCACCACTTTCGTTCCAATCAGAGTACTCTTCCTTCAGAGCTGTAAGACATTGTAAAGAACAGAATCCAATGAAAATCACAATTATTTATGCTACTTGGAATGCTCGCAGCAATTTTTCAATACTAACTTTTTTGCTTAGTTTACTTAAATTTACTAAGAATTACTCAGAAATAAACAGCATGATGAAGGAGGAAGAGATCCCCACGCCTTTCTTTCTCCCTTGCGCGGTTGCCTGTTTGCTCCCTCCCTCCCTCCCTCCCTCCCTCCCTCCCTCCCACTTACTCCCCTCATACCACCGTGCTACAGCCTTGCAGCCTTGCAGCGTTTCAACCCTACAGCAAGCAATGCGCAAAATCATTCAGAAAACGGTTCTCAACGAGCTTGCCCCACCACAAGAAAACATTCATAACTGAGTCCCGCCATAAATTGTGACAAACTGACAGAACACAGGGTGACGATTGAGTTCGGTTTCCAAACAGGGTGTTGGGGGGCGATTTGGGGTTTTTGCGGGGGTTATTGGGGGCAGGCATGGCGGTGCTGCCGGGGTTATTGGCATTCTGGACCCAAGAAAAAAATCAAAATGGTGGGGAGCCAACGACTCCTGACCGGTAGGTGCCGACCAGCCAACCGGTCGGCTGGTCGGCATCTGACCAGTCAAGGGCCTCCGACCGTCGGGGTATGCAACACTGCTAATAGGACAGAGTATGCCTGACTGCATGAATATTTCATTTGAGGACCAGCTGGCAGATATGACGTTCCATCCATCGGACCCCAGCAATGAAGTTGAATAAACAGAGTACCTACCGGGCACTGTCCAACTTTGCAAAATGCCCCAGTACTTTCCAACTTTTGGAAGGTCCGGATTGCAGAAGGCCAAGGCCACAACGGTCAGATACTGCCCCCCCCAAAGGAGTCTTGCTTACATAGTACATGGGACTTCACGTTTCGCTCTTAAAAAAAATAAAAAAAAATAAAAAGATTTCAACCATTTTGGCATTTCCTGATTTGTGTGTGTCGTCCTTGCCCACGAACAATGCTTTTTTTTTTTGGTGTGTCCAACTCTTTAGTTTCCAAATGAAGAACCATGAGGCTGTGAATCCTCACAAACAACCTCAAAGTACTGGGCCCATCACCCACCGTCGGCTTGTGCTGGAAATCAGGTCCCGTGTCCGCAAAATTCTATATCATTCCATGTTTACCAGATGTGTTCCAAAGGAGAAATGGGATCCATGTTTTGTAGCTGTACTTCCTGGACCGGCCGAGATTGCTGGCCATGCTAATCTACTCTGAATTCCATTTTCTGTGGATGGGTCCCGAAGGACAAACGGCTCCACGTTTTGCCACCGTACTTACCGGCCCGGCGGAGATGCTGTCAGACGCATGAAGCAGACTCCTAGTGGCGGTATGCTCACACAGATACTAGCCTGCTCTTATTGTCGCTACATGATGCCATGGATGCGACAGATCTAATATTTTAACATAGAGAGCAGTACGAGTTTTATAAGCCGGGACTTCAACCCCCTCTGGCTGGCACTGAGTTCGGCCAATTGACAACTCCCCCCCTTTATGTGGTTACTTCTGTCAATAGGAATGCAATTGTGCTGACGGTTTGTTTAAAGCTGGGCTACCAGCCGGGCTGCCCGGGTCGCCCAATTTTCCCTATGCTATGCACAAAAATAAACTGAACAACTTTTGCCTCGGGGTCATATCGAACTTCTTTACCACATTTGAAATAAAAGATAGAATTAAAAGATTGTTTTTTTTGTTTTTTGCGGCCTGGCCCAGACAACTGGTCCCGGGCCACTCTGGTAGCCTAGGATTAAACCACCAGTACACGGCCCCAGGCGTGCAGCAAAAAAACTTGTCGCCACAGGCGACAAAATAGAAGGTCGGGGCAGGGCCGGAGTGGCGGAGGCCTTCACAACAACCAGGGCCCACGGGGGCCCACCGATGGACGTGTTTTTGTCCGTGGCTGGCAGTAAGGCCTGTCGGCCTTCCGGTTGTACGGAAACACGGTCGCAATACAAATATAAAAAAAGACAAGAAAAAAATCAGACAGCAAGGGTTTGTGCCTTGTCGATCCGTACAGGCGGTGCCAGTTACCGTGTGGCCTGCCGGCAACGGCCTTCCGCCCTACATCCCTGCACTCGTGCCAAGTCGAGCCGACAGGGCACGGCCGCCATCTCTCTCTCTCTCACACTCACTCACTTGTTCGAATGTCATGGTGGGTGTGCTTGTCGTTGTACACATTTCTTCTCGTATTTGTTTTTCGCATTGAAAAAAAAAAAAAAGGAATACGGT